TGCCGCAGGTGCGACTGCAACGACCACGGCGACGAGGCGCGGGGCGTCTGCGACTACGCAACCGGCGAATGTATCTGTAAAGACAACACCGAAGGGCAAAACTGCGAGCGCTGCAAAGCCAAATTCTACGGCGATCCTCGACATGGTGGCAGGTGCTATTACCAATGTGAACCGAGAGGAATGTTAAATGCCACCCAGACCGAAGGCATCGGCTCCTTTATGACAGACCCCGACGTAAAATCATTGGGTCCATCGAAAGAGTGTCTGTGGATTATATCCGCCAGTAATATTAAAGACGCCACGATTCAGTTTAAAATTAACTCCTCTCATTTCGACGTGCCCTGTGACGAAAACGCCGTTTATGTTTACGATGGACTCGGCGGCGTTCCAGATTTGAATAATAATCAACAAAGTCAACTGTTGGGCGTGTTTTGCAATGGTGCTTCTTCGGGAGTAGTGGAGGCTAGGAGTGGAAACTTAACCGTGCATTACAAACAAGGTGAACCGGAGCAAGGTTTCGAAGGTGTATACGAAGTCCTGGCCTGCGACGACTACTGCTCATGGCCCAGAGTGTGCAATAAGAGACATTGTGTTTGCCGAGATGGTTATGGAGGTCCTAATTGTGACATTGAAATATGTCGACACAATTGCAGCGAAATAATTAAAGCGGGAGTGTGCGACACCAGCTACGGACGATGTCTCTGCAATGAGGGATTCGGAGGAGATGACTGTTCAGTTAAACTTGATAAAACTCAACTCGTCTTTACAGAGTTGTTTAATTCTGAATTTCTGTCCGATAGTTTGGATCATTTGAGAAAAACATTGCCTAGATTCGGTCACAGTTTGGTCGCCGATAGACGTGGTTTGTGGATGTTTGGTGGATATTCACTATCGCACGGCCCTTTAAACGATATTAGATTCTTTGATACCAAAAATAACACCTGGATGCAGGTAACCGTTGAGGCAACTCCTGATGCTAAAATGCCCGAGCGCCGCTACTTCCACGCGGCTGAAATTTATCACTCCAAACAAAACATTTATATTTACGGAGGCTTGAGTTTGCAGGAAAAAAGTGGAGAAAACAAGATTCTTGATGACTTTTGGCAGTTTAGCTTGAAAGATCAGAGATGGAGTAACATCAAATCTAAAAATGAGCAGCCACCGGCACTAGCGGGACACACGTTGACATTGCAAAAGTATCAAGATTATGAAAGTCTCGTTCTCATCGGGGGCTTCTCGATGAGTGAAGGATTTATGTCTGAAATCTGGGAATTTGATCTCGATAATGAAAAATGGATTAAACTGCGCTGTAGAGGAACGATACCGTCAGGAGTCATAGGACATAGCACTGTCTACCATGCTCCGTCGCAAAGTCTTTATGTATTCGGTGGAATATTGTACGTTTACAATGGCACCATGGTTTCCGATAAGTTATTTTCATTCCACTACCCCACGAAGACTTGGAGTGAGTTGCCTAGCTTCTTGAATTTACATGCCTTCGATTCATTACCACTTGCGACCTATTTACATTCCGCTGTCACAACAAATGACTACATGATCGTATTTGGAGGAAGAACTGACCCAGAAAATAGATCAAATGCTCTCATTGCCTACGTCTACGAATGTAACCAGTGGGTCCGACTTGTGAAAGGTTTGTAGATTTGCGTTTTATCTATGTTACGCTAATTAAATAATTTTATATTTCATTGAATATTTTTACAGGCGTAAGTATAGTGGACCACCCGCCTCCGCGCACAATCGCCCACGCGATGGCCATCGATGTGGAAACAGACAGCGAAGGGTACATCTACATAATCGGCGGCTGGACGGGCAGCGCCAACTGCCAAGTGACGCGGATATCACTGCCCGAAGACCTGTGCTCTCTGTGGAGCTCGAACAAGTTGGAATGTCGCAGTCACATGGGCTGCAGCTTCTGTAGCACAAGCAACTACACGAAATGTTTCTCCGTCAACAAGCAAGGCTGCGTGGGCAGCGATAGAGTTTCCACAAATTCTGGTGCCGCTTGTGACTTTGAACTGATCTCGAGTCGTTCGTGTGAGAACTTCACAACGTGCACGTCGTGCCTCGCCGCGTGGCCGCTGTATCCGGAGGAGAAACCCGCCTGCAGGTGGTGCGAGTCCTGCGCGGCGGCCGTCGGTTAGTACAGCACCGAGTACCAAATTGACATTTATACTTACTTGCTACGACTTTTGTAATTCGTATTATCTTCTAGGCGAATGTGTACCAACGGATGAATCTTGTACAAGTATCAAATGTAATGCGGGAACTACTTACATCAGTGACGTTGACCAATGTCCGGAACTTAGGTGTCTGGCATCAGACTGCGATAAATGTGTATCCAACCAGTGCACCTGGACTCGGTACGCCAGTAGATCAGGTAATATAGAATATTTTGTATCATTGACTTGTATTTTTACTGAACAAATTCATAAAAATAGTTTTTTTTGCAGGTCAAGCAACAAAAATTATCGAAGATAACTCTGAACTGTTCAATTGGACGTGTGCATTGATCGATGAACCCGGCCGCGCCAGTCTCAGACCGAGAACGAAGGAGGAGTGTCCCAGTCGGTGCCACCAATTTACGGATTGTCAGTCGTGTCTCAGCTCCGACGGGGCCGAGGGTGGCTTCTCTGAATGTCACTGGGCTTCATACCTGGGGACGTGTATATCTCCGGCGTATCAACCTATCATATGTGCGGGCGGCGTGTGCGGGCTGGTGCTGACGAAGGCGGACAAGAACAAGTGTCCGGCGCCGTGCGGCACGTTC